CCGCGTCCCTGGTCGCTGCGCCGCGCGCGTTCTCTCGGGTGTGCGCCGCGTCCCTGGTCGCCGTGCCGCGCGCGGTCTCTTGGGTGTGCGCCGCGTCCCTGATCGCTGTGCCGTGTGCGGTTTCTCAGGTGTACCACTGCCGCACCCTGGCCCTGGCCTTCATGGAGTTCACCGTGGCACAGCGGTTTCACGACTTCACACACCACCCCAGCGTGCCACCCCCGCTGCGAGGCGTGCTGGGCCGGCTCAGCGCGCTGTACACCCTGTGGTCCCTGAGCTCGCACGTGGCTTCTCTCTACCAAGGTGAGGCCACCTCCCGCCCCGGCACTGCCCCCCGGGATCCTGCCCCCTTGATCCCCTCCCGGGCCCTCTCTCCCAAGGAAACCCCTCCTCCAACACTGCTCCCCAGAGCTGCCCCAGGAAGGAATCGTGGACTCCCTCTACTTTACCTGGGAGGCCTTGATGGTTTACTCCCTAGGTGTGTACTTAGCCCTTATCCCAGGGACAAGGGGCTTCTATCCTGTATGTGTCTTCTGGACCCCTTTGAAGCCAGTTTCCTGTTCTGCTCAGAGAGGTCTCCCATGGCTGAGTTCTAGAGAGAGTGACGTGTCCTCCAGCCCTCAGGCCCCATGGGGTGGGAGGCAGATGGCACATGGATTGGCATGAAGCTAGGCTGCTGGGGACCCGGAGGGCTTCCAGGAGGAAGTGATGATGGCTAGTCCCCTTCCAGGAGCCTTTTTAGGCATGTTTTCCCTAACCGCCCTTCCACCCATGACATCTGAGCTGTAGATGTGCCATGCGTGTGCTCTGGGCACATCTGTGCTTTACAAAGAGTGAGGGTTTTGCCCCAGAAAACCACTGTCCTCCCGCTGGGGCATTGGGCACGCAGGCTGACGGGAAGGGGTGAGGCATTCAGGCAGGGGCCCCGGTGCAGAGGCAGGGAGCACTGTCCTCTAGGAAACAACACAGTTTTTTCAACAAAAACGGGAAGAAAAGTAGGTTCGACCACAGACAGTCCTCAGTGTGCCGGCCTCTGTCTCCGGACCAGGAGAATGAACCCGTGTCACACAGGACAGCCCGCTGCGGGCCAGGAGGGAGCCCAAGCAGGCGACCCCTCAGCCTCCAGAGGATGCGATGCCCCACGCACTCCGCACACCTTGTTCAGTGGGTGGCCCGGTACACTGGCCCCCGTCCTCACCCGCATGCCACCCTGCCTTCCACCGTGTACCCGGCTCAGCCGGGAGCCCCCACCTCGCCTGTTCCTCAGACCCAGCTAGGCATCCCCCCCAGCCCCCTCCCTGAGCCCCCGCAGGGTGAGCCCCGGGCAGCCCGCCTGCCTCCTTGCCTCGGGATGGGCACTGGCAGACCCTCTCCGCCTCCTCACCGCCCGCCTCGGGGCGAAGCCAGCCTCGTTCCTTATTTCTGTCTCCCCGGCACCTGGTCCCGTGCCCACCTGCTCAGGGGCTGAGTGGGACAAGCACCATGAGAACCCGCCCTGTGCCCAGCACGTGTCCTTCAGAGAGGGCCTGCTGGGCCCGGGCAGCGGCAGGGGACGCTCCACACTGTACGGCGGGCCTCCTGCAGGCTGGACGGGGGCGCCATTAGGACCCCAGATCCTGGTGTAACCAACACTTGCAACCCACGTACAGGCGGCTACTTCTCCGGGGAGCACGCGGGTAAAATGATGGAGGCCGCCATCTTGGACCTGTGTTCCCAGGTGAGTTGTTGTCACCTGTCTGCTAATCTTCCCTCCTCTGCTTGCCGCACATCTGCTTGCATTCAACCTCGAGAAAAACAGGAGAACGACAAGAAGATAGGCTCAGATCAGAGATTTTGACCAGATGATGACCTCGGGAAGGCCCCAGAGCTCGCCCGCGCTCAGCTCACTGACGCACGGGCAGGTGTCGGGGGCTTCTTCCTGCCACACTTGCAGTCGCTCAGCCTCAGCTTAAACCCGGTTCACGGGGTGTCCCTGGGGTGCTGTGTCCTTTCACCGTGTTACCCAGGAAAGCAGATGCCCCTGGTGTTCTCCTCGTGCTCTGTCTGCAGAACTTCTAGAGGGTTGCAGGTGTCCAGTGTGGGAGCCAGGGGCCACATGTGGCTGTTGGTGGTGGCAGTGTGGCGCGTGGGACTGAGGAGCGACGTTGTTCAGTTTCTCTCGTTGTAATTTAACACGACGAGCTGCCGCAGCTGTGGCTGCCATCTTGGCCAGAGCCGCCATGCGTCTGAGAGCAGGTACGTACCTCATGTGGTAGAGACCCCCCTCTGCCACTCGCATCACTGTCTGAAAAGACAGCCACCCCGCTGATCCCCGCCTCTCGTCCTCCCCTCAGCGCCTGCCACGACGGCCTAGTCAAAGGTGAGCCCCTCCCCAGGGCTCTGGCTTCCACACCCATCGACATCCTGTGTGATTCTGGGTTGAGGCGTGTGTGCACCACCACAGGCACACACAGACACGTGTGTGGACAGTTGCTCTGGACACATCACATGTGTGTACATTCACAGTGTACACATAGGATCACACATGGGCACAATTACAGTGCACACGATCCCATGTATGTTAGTCGGAGTGCCCTCCCTCAGTCATGTGTGCACAGCTGCAGTGCATACACAAGTTCTCGTGTGCATGGCCACGGTGCACATGCACAGTCCCACGCGTGCACAGCTGCAGTGCATACACATGTTCTCATGTGTGCACAGCCACGGTGCGCATGCACAATCCCACGTGTGCATGGCTACAGTGCATACACATGTTTTCATGTGTGCACGGCCACGGTGCACATGCGCAATCCCACGTGTGCACGGCTGCAGTGCATACACATGTTCTCATGTGTGCACGGCCACGGTGCGCATGCACAATCCCACGTGTGCACAGCTGCAGTGCATACACATGTTCTCGTGTGCACAGCCACGGTGCGCATGCACAATCCCATGTGTGCATGGCTACAGTGCATACACATGTTTTCATGTGTGCACGGCCACGGTGCACATGCACAGTCCCCCGCATGCACAGCTGCAGTGCACACACACAGTCACATGTATGCACAGCCACGGTGCACATGCATAATCCCACGTGTGCACGGCTGCAGTGGGTACATGTGTTCTCGTGTGCGTGGCCATGGTGCACATGCACAAGCCCACGTGTGCATGGCTGCAGTGCATGTGCACAGCCACATGTATGCACGGCCACACTGTACACACATGGTCACACGTATGTACAATTGCAGTGCGTGCATGGGGTCAAGTTCACTTTTCCTAAAGTAAAACCCGTGATGGTGAGGGGTGTTCTTTGTATGCCACATGGAGGTGAACTGTTGTTCGTAACACGTGGAGCAGCCGCGTCCCCTGCTCTCATGGCCCTGCTCGGCCGTGTGGCTGACACACGCAGATGGCCGTGGGCTGCATCCTGTGGGCCAGCCAGTGCTCTAACGTGGTCCACGTCTCACCCCCGTCCATCCGCCACCTGCAGGCCCAGGTCCTCATCCTCCTTCAGGGAGGCCCGGCTGAAGGGAGGGAGTCAGCTGCCCCTTTAGACCAGCAGTCGGTCTGCAAACAGCCAAACCCTGCCGTTTGTTCATGCCTCGTCTTCCACGGCAGAGTTGAGCAGTTGCTACAGAGACGGTGCAGCTGTAAGCCCGAGATAGTTACCCTCTGCCCTTTACGGGGCACGTTGCTGACCCCAGGTCTGACAGAGACCGGGAACCCGATCCTGCTGACGGGTCCCTGTAGACAGCGATGGCCTCTGAGGGCAAAGGGTGGGCACCTCAGGGTGAGTGGACACGTGTTCTGGAGAGCGGCGCGGAGCTGTGGAGGCAGACCTGCTTCCTTTGCCTGCCACGGCCACAGCTGCCTTCTAGCCTCCAGCTTTAACGCTGCCCTGCCCCAGGGGTCTGGTCTGTGCGGCCCCCTCACTGGAAAACAGTTCTCTTAAGGAAAGAATTCTGTTCGCCTTTCAAGAAAGTTCTCGGGAGTCTCCTGATACAAATGCCACTGGTCATATTGAAGAGTACTTTGTGCAACGGAGAGGGGACTGACGTGTTACGACTTCCCCAGGCGCGCACATGCCCTCGCGGTGACGTCTCCCCTGCACGAGTCATCGTGCGCGCACCAGCAGCCGCCGGGTAGAGCTGGGCGAGACACATGCTGCAGAGGGTAGCTGGCTAGGGAACTGTCGTGCTGTCGCTAAGCAACAGGCCGCCATGGGGAAGGCCACGTGGTGACACAGGACAGTCCAGATATGGGGGCCCTGGTCCAGGCCGGCAGGAGGCCAGCACGCAGGGAACAGGGCCGCGTGCCTGCTCCACTCACCAGTCGGTCCTAGCAGCAGCCGGGCCGTGGTCTGTGACTCGTGGTCACCGTGGCGACGCCCCGTTGCTAAGCGTGTGGGCTTTGTTTCCAAACAGCTGAAGGACGACGCGGTTGCCCTGGTGGACGTGCTCGCCCCTCCCGACTTCGTCCTGGACGCGCCGATTGGCAAGGCCGATGGCGAGGTGAGGCGAAACCGCCAGCTTGTGCTCGGTGGGGGCGGCGCGTGCAGCTGCTGGGTGCTGGGTGGGAGCCTCGCAGGGTCCGGGGGCCGAGGGCTTGCTGCGGGGCCTGGGGTGATCACAGAGGTCACACCTCTGTGTGCACCTGGGGAACTTGTAATACGCCAGTCCCCTCTCCGTTATACAAAGTACTTTTCAACACAACCAGTGGAATTCGTATCAGGAGACTCCCAAGAACTTTCTTGAAAGGCAAAGAGAATTCTTTCCTTAAGATGCCTCCCGGAAATTGTTAGGCCCGGGGGCAGCTTGCTGGCAGCGAGCAGTGCTGGGGGTGACCTAGAGAAGGGGTGTGTGCCCCTGGGCCATCACCATGTTGCCTCTGGGGCGTCGGGCAAGTGGCCCTCCTGCAGCCTGGTTTAAGATCTACGCTAGGGTCCGGCGGTCCAGGCCAACAGGAAGAGCGCGTGGGAACAGCGCCGTGCGCCTGCTGTAGCGACCGGTTTCCCTCCGTGAAGGGGGGGTGATGCCGCCCGTCCTCGGAGAACACCCTGAGCCTGGGCAGAGCTCGCCCTCGTCTTAACCCTCCCCCTCTCCAGTGGCCTACTCCGGCCCCTGGTTTTCCATCCGTCCCCATAGTGGGGGCTCCAGACTCGAGCCACACAGCCCGGCACCTCACACCCCACGGGACCTGGTAACGGGACCCAGTAACGCCTGGCTGGCCCCCCGCCCGCTTCTTCCCTGGTTTCCTCAACTCATCTGGGTCTCACCGTTCTCCAGCCCTGCTCCCTCCCTCCTGCCTCAAGCCTGCAGCAGGGTCTCTGCTGTCTGACCCCATCTGGGCTGTCAACCAGGCCTCCCTCCTCACACGGCTGGGCTCCCCCGGTGGCCTCCCTGCCCCCCGCCCCCACCCTCGCGCTCCAGAATGAGTTTTTAAAAAGCGGATCGGCTCAGGCCGCTCCGCTAGAGACTTCCGCCAGCATCCTGCACTCTTGAGAGAACACCCAGCTTCCTCTCCACGCCCACCGGCCGAGGGCCTGGCACGGCCTGACTGTCCAGCGCAGTTCTATACTATGCCTCCTTCCGCCCCCAGCTCCAGCTTCATGCCCTTTCTGTTCTGACACTTGGGCTCGTTCTGGCCCCGGGGCCTTTGCACCTGCCGCTCCCACTGCCTGGAGCGCTCTCCCTCCATTCCGGTGTAAGCCTAACTCCGCCTCCTCAGAGAGGCTTTCTGCGGCCATGGCCAGCGTGCTCCGCTCTGCTCTCGTGCCATCTGTCCTGTGGTGTGGCCCTCAGACTCCTCACGGGGTGAGCCTTGGTGTGCACCTGTGTCTTAGTTATCTGGTTCTGCTGCGACAGAAATACCGCAGGTGGGTGGCTTAAACAGACATTTGTCCTCTCACAGTCAGGAAGCTAGAAGTGTGAATTCAGGGCTCCGGCTCTAGGGGAAGGCTTTCTCAGTTGGCTCTGGAGGAAGGTCCTTGTCTCTTGTCAGCTTCTGTTCCTTGGTTCCTTAGTGATCTTCATGGGGCCTGTCTCTTCCCCATCTTTGTTTCTCTTGCTTGCTTAATCTGCTTTTTTATGTCTCAGAAGAGGTTTATTTAAGACACGCCACACAAGTACTGCTTCATAACAAAAAATGCTTCGTAGCCTAACGGAGAAAACCCATTCCCAAATGGGGTAATAACCACTATACCCTTTGCCATCGAGTCAGTTCCAACTCATAGTGACCCTACAGGACAGAGTAGAACCGCCCTATAAGGTTTCCAAGGCTATCATCTTTCTGGAAGCAGACTGCCACATCTTTCTCCTGAGGAGCACCTGGTGGGTTCGATCCTCCAACCTTTCCGTTAGCAGCTGAGCGCTTAACCACTGTGCTACCAGAGCTCCTTATAACCACTATAGGGGTTAAGATTTACAACGTATGTTTTTGAGGGACCCAATTAACACCATGTGTGACCTCCGCTGGGCATCAGTTCCCGTGCAGGGGCCTCCCCCGGCCTTGGCACTCAGACACTGTCATCCTGTTTACTTGACATCTCCATGACGGAGGGCCCCGGGGCAGGACAGCCCAACAGGCTGGCTTATACAATGCACACGCCCCGGCCTCCAAGGAGCGCTGTGTTGACCAGGTAAGAGCTCGTGCTCAACGAGCCGGCAGCAGCTACAGTGGTTTATCTGGGGCAGTCACGAAATGAAGCGTGATGTGCCGGATTGCGGAATGCCATCTCGAACTTATGACCTGCGGGAAACGAGCCTGAATCCAGGTCTCTTTGGGAGCCAGCACGAGCAGAGTGTTGGGGGAGGAACTGGTGAGTGCATTTAACAGTTGCAGGAGAGTAGTTTTTTAAAAGTACAACCTGTCAGCCTCAGCCTGATGCAGCCGAGTCTGCAGCCAGCGGAGCAGACCCTCCCTGGTGTGCTGGGTGGTGCAGGGACTGTTGTTCTTGCGGCCTGTGATTCCCAGGACCCTGTGAGACAGGAACTGCTTCCCTGCTGAGGCAGCTGAGGCTGAAAGCAGTGAGGTGTTCCGGTCTTAGAGGTGGCCAGCGGCCCCCGTCACCGTCAGTCCCCTGTGCTGCTGGCGGGGCAGGGAGAGAGGGGTGGTGTGTGCCCAGCGCACTAGCTGGGCGTCCAGGGACCACATGGCAGGGACACGCCATCGTCCTGCCCGACGCCCCGTCCTCCTGCCGCCTGGCTGCACCCAGCTGTGCCTGCCTGCAGATGCGGGCATGAGAGTGCAGATTCCAGAATAAACAGCACACAGACATGCCAGCATTCCGTGATGGTCACATTCCATTACAAATCAGAACGTCCACCTTCTGCCGTGATTCCCTGAGAAAAGGACCAGGGGGCTGCTTTTCATCAGAAGCATGTTTGATGATGTTTTAATAAGTGCATTTCCCTATTTTCTACAAAAAAACAAAGGTTTATATGAAACTTAACTCAGATTTCCATCGCGAGCGATGGTGGAGCACTCGCTATTTCTAGCGGAAGCATTGGGGGTTGTGCATGCTTGCCACCGTCTGAGTCCTTGGTCGTCTGGTCACCCTCCGTTCTCTCCCACACGTGTCGTCTGCAGGTCTACCAGAACCTCTGGGCCGCCGTCCTTCAGGAGAGCCAGGTGCTCGAGCGGGCCTCCTGGTGGCCTGAGTTTTCTATCAAGAAGCCGGTCATCGGGAGTTTGAAACCAAAGCTGTAGGGGAGCCAGCATGCGTCCGGTCAAACTGCTGATGGAGGTGCTTTCTGGATGCTCCCTGCCTTTACACCGGCCGCGTGTCCCCTCGCACCCCGACTTGTGTGCCCTGGGGCGGGGTCACACTTGGCAGCACGTTCTCTGGTGATCATGGCTCCCCGTGAAAAGAAACTTCAAAGATCAAATAGACTGTGTCGTCTTCTAATTTTTTAAAGTTGTTTATAATCAGAACTTTTCTAAGAAACAGATGAAATCTTCTGATGGACTATGTTTTTTTGATAATTAGAGCTTTGCATCTTCTAAGAAAAAAACTTCAAAGATGGAGTCGTCGTGATGGACTGTTGGGTTGATTTTGAGAATCAGAACTTCGCATGTTTTACTTTCAGGCACAGATAACTGGCTGTAAAGTAGGCTGCCCACATTTAGGGATTTTCTACCAGAGGATCTTTTGAATTCATCCAAGCATTTTCCGAGGCTCTGCCGCCCCCAGGACTAATGATACCACTGTGGTCCTTTGAACACCGGCCTCATCCCACCGCAGGAGGCCCCCTCTCTGGGCCGCACAGTCAACGCGGGCCTCCCCCGGGAGCCTGTGCGGCCCCACCTTGGCACGTGGCCCCTCCAGTCTCCCTCCCCGAGGGCACAGGCACCAGTAATAAACCTGGGGAGTGCCGGCTGCTGGCCCCTGAGCGCCCCTGGGGGGACCCTGTGGGTGTCCACCATCCCCCATCCTCCTCCCCCCTAGAGCCCCATTTCTCCCCACCTGCACAGGGCAGCCCTGTGTTGGGGAGCTGGCCCCCAGCTCCTGGCCTGAGCGTCTCAGCCCAACCAGTTCTCTGCCCAGCCAGGGGTCGGGGTGGGGCCAGACCCGAGGGTCCAGGGGCATTACATCTTAGGGCAGGCTGGGGCCTCTTGCCGTCGCTGGATGGCCTGGGGGGAGCTTCGTGCCGTTTCGATGCTGCCACCATGAGCGAAGCATCCTCAGGCCAAGGCCAACCCCAGGCTGGGCAGGGACAACCGTGGGGACCCAGGACAGAGAGAAAGCAGCACTGCTGCCTGCGAGGCTGCCCTGAGGCTCAGCCCCTCCGGCCTTGCAGGCTGGTGAGCGGGAGCCCGCAGAGCCCACCCGGAGCCTCGTGCCTGACTCAGCGTGGGTGGGGGCTGCTCAGCCCTCCAGAGCCCCCCCAGAAGAGCCCAGCCAGCTGTCCCTGTGCACAGGTGTCAGGAAGCCAGCTGCACCCTTGGCCTCTGGCCTGGGAAGTCTGTGCTGCTGGGGCTGCCCAGCAGCCCAGGGCCGCTCCTGGCTTGCTCCCCTGTCCTGTTCGGTGGCCACTGGCTGTTGCTGAAACTTCCATCCGGGCATTTTTCTCGGGCTCGGGGCTTTGATCCTGCATCCCAGAGGTCAGCAGGGTGTGGTTTGAGGACTTGGTGTTCTGCCATCTTCCAGGACGCCCCACCCATGGCCTCAAGTCCCTTCAAGTGGGAGGACTGACCTAAGCCGGTCTCCGTCCAACCAGGCCGCCCAGGCATGGCCGGGAAAGTGACTTCGTGAGCTTGGGAAACTTCAAGGATGAAGGAACCCCATTTATGAATGGAAGGATTGATAATGACTGTGTAAGGCAGAGTGACTCCGTTTACCCGCTTGCTTGTGGGCTACAAGGCTGGGCTCGTTCCTGGGCGGCTCCATCTCAGCTCCTGGTGCTGGTCGCAGACTGGAGGTTGCTGAACCTCTGATCCCATTCACCATCCTGTTGGCCTTCTCTGAGCGAGAGGCGGCTGCGCTGAGCTGTTTGCTTTGCAGAGAAAACCTGTGTCTGGTCTCACTGGGACAGAATGCTTGGGCACAAAATCAAACCCGAGGTCCGCCATTCCGTCACCCTCCCCGGGGTTGGTTCTGGGGTGTGTGTGCTCAGCTTGCTAGAACCCTTGCCATGGCATGAATTTTTCTTGTCTAGGTTTATGAAGATAAAACGATCTTTCAGGAACGTTTTGCTGTGTCATGTTCTTTGGAGGCCCTGGTCACCTGTCTTTTCTGTCAGCCGGGGGGAGGTTGCATGGCAGCGAATACTGAGGGCAGCCTACCTTTGTCACTTGCTGTGTGGCCTTGGCCGTATTTTCCCACCCGTCCCTTTCCCTGCCCACCTCTGACCCGTGCCCCAGGAGGGACTGGGGGGCATGCAGCCTCCACCATGTCCACCGGGACAGCACGGACTGGCTGTGGTCAGTCCCCGGGGTCAGGACGAGGTCTGAATTGTCCAGCTTCAGCACAGGGCCACACGCAGAGGGAGTGCGCGGCCAGTGTTGAATGAGTGAGTGAATGAATGAGTGAATGAACGAACAAATGAGGAGTGAATGAAGAAGTGAGTGAGTGGGTGAACAAATGCATGTTCCAGGTGGGGAAACTGGTGTGCAGAGAGCTTACATGGCTGGCCCGTGGCCCCTGAGAGGAAGGAGAGGGGCTGGAGCCAGCAAGCCACCCCGTCCCCCCACCAGGAAAGAGCCCTCAGACTCGGGTGTGGGGTCCTCCTGGCCCTAGCGTCCTGTGAGTCCCAGGACCCGACCACAGCACCCCAAAAGGACGAGATGAGCCTTGCCACCTTTGTCCTGTTGGATGTTTTACAGCAAACTCTTCCTTCCAGAAGGTTCCTTCCATCCACGCTCCTTGCTGAGGTTCACGGAGACCCCCAGAGAGTACTAGAGGCCCCACAACAAAACCCTGTGATTCTCCCTAGAGTGTGTGTGTGTGCGTGTGTGCGTGCACACACGTGTGTGTCACAGATTCAAAAGGACAGCCGACCGTGTTAGGGAAGGGAACACAAAGCATGGGTGGGGTATATCCTCCTCACCAGGACCTTCAAAGCCCCGTGGGCCTCCGCTTGGTGCCCCCATTCGGAACCAGCAAAAAGGTCTCGGGGCAGGTGGCTGGTTCAAAGACCCGCTCATGGGAAGGGCCTCGGCAGAGGTGGGGATCGGGGGCTCTGGTCGCATGGTTGCAGAACCCTGTCTGCAGCCACGGTGGTGATGGTCATGGTGGTGCTGAGGGCCACAGCTCTGTGGGTGTGCACCCCCCAGGCCTGCCTGGCCACCCAGCCTGCGGGATGGGAGCTGAGGCAGTCGGAGGGCAACAGGAGCCCTCTGTGGGGACACAGGAGGAGGGTGGGCTTCCTGCCCGGCTGTTGGCCTCAGAGCCGTCTGGCCTGTGTTTACTCAGTCTTCCCACAGCCAGACTGGAGGAGCCTCCAGAGCCGGCACCCGGGGGAGCAGTGAGTCCCCGCCCCCGCCTCTGCTCCGCTCCAGGACCACAGCAGTTTCAACAAATCCCAGACCCCAACCAGACCATGCTTTCCTGAAGTGACCTCAAAATCTCTAGGGTGATGATCCCCAAAACGCACAAGAGGGCTGTGATGGCCAGCACCCGCCCCCCCTCCTCCTAGCCCCTCTCTGTCCTCCCAGACAAGCCCCCTCCTCCCGGACCCTGCCCCCTCCTCCCAGTCCCTCCCTGTCCTCCCAGACCCTGCCCCCTCCTCCCAGACCCTGCCCTCTCCTCCCAACCCATCCCCCATCCTCTCAGCCCGTCCCCCGTCCTCCCAGCCTGTCCCCTGTCCTCCCAGTCCCTCCCTGATCATCCCAGCCCCCCATAGCCATCCAGCCCCTCCCTACATCTACTCAGCCCCTCCCCATCAGCCAACCCCTCCCCCATCCACTGGCCCCACCCCCCTCGTCCACCCAGTCCCTCCCCCGACACTAACCATTTATTCAATGAATACCCAGCAGCACTTGCTCTATGCTGGGCTCTGAACAGGTGGGCGCCTAAGGATGACATCCTGATGGTTGCTCTCACCTGTGCTCTGAGGGGGTTGGGGGGGACAGTTCCATGAGAAGAGCAGACAGACGGAGCTGACTTGGTGTGACCTCAGTCCTTGGGTGTCAGTGTCCTCTTCTGTATGTGGGGACAGTGAGTCCTCCTGCGTGGCCATGCGTGCGGGCACTGCCTGGCGTGCTGGGTCTGAACTACGGAGCTGGGGCCGCTGCCCCCCACAGCCTGGGGGCTGTGGGCGGGAAGGGGCCGGGCTGGGGCGTGTGACCTGAGGCAGTGCGCCTGGAGGGGTGGCCAGGTCCGGCAGGATTGCTGTAGGAGACCCAGGACAGCTCGTGTACAGGGTGGTGCTCATCTGTGCTCCGTGGCTCCCCCCACAGCCTATGAGGAAGGCACGCAGTGGCCCTCGGGGAGAAGCCAGCTCTGTGCACTGCACCCAGGCCACCTGGTCCCTCTGGGCCTCTGACCTCCCTGAACCCACCACCTGGAGGGGCCCCAAAGCCCGGGCGTTCCACCCGTATGAGGGAGGCCCCTCCGAAAGCACTTCTCTCCCCAAAGTCAGGCTCTACCCCAAACTCTCCTGGGGCCCCTGATGCAGGCTACACCAGCCCATCAGCAGGGCCTCTCAGGCCTGTGGCAGCCCACGCCAGGTGTGGGGTGCCCTCCACCCCTTGGACGGGAGCGCCCTGGGAGGTCACGGCCACAGGTTCCTCAGCCTGACCTCACATCCAGCCCCCCAGGGTGTAGGCGCCCAGGGCCTCGGCCTCCCAGCAAGCCCAGGACTCCAGGGAGTATCTTGGGAAGAGAGGCCTCCCTCGGGACAGCCCGGAAATCACGTCAGTCCTGGTGGAGTCTGCGCTTAGTGAGCACAGGCTGTATGCTGAGACGCTGCCAGGCCCTTCACCTACATTGCCCTGTGGATACCCCCAGAGCTGCAGTGACTTCCCCCGGCTCACAGGGCCCCAAGGAGGCAAGCCCACCAGTCTCCCCACCCTATGGCGCTTAGGACATGGTGGGGACGCACAGGGACCGCCCACCCCCAGGGATCCTGGAGAGACAGCCTCCAGAGGCCAGACAGGTCTGTGGTGAACGCCATTCCAGTTGAATTTGCGTTTCCTTAGAAAATGATTTAAAAACATTCAGTCTACTCGCTCACACCACCTGCCCCTTCTTCCCAGATGCAGCAGCTGAGGTTCTTACCCAATATCACACACAGCTCACAGCTCCCCTGGCCCTCCCATCAGCCCCCACAGCCTCTGGGCCTCCTTCTCCCTCTCTACAGGCCTAGTCCCTGCCCTCCCTCCTGGTTCTCACCCTCCAAAGGCTCTGCCCAGGCTTCTTAGCCCCCTCCCTCCAACCTGTTGCTCCCCCTGCCTGGAACACCCTTCCCCACCACCCTCCCCTGCACTCTGTCACCATTCTGCCCCGTCTGTCCGTCTGTCCGTCCTGGTGCTCGGCAGGGACTCAGTTACACTCCGTCTGAGTGTCAGCACCTCAGGCGGCTTCAGGCGCCCAGAGAAGGCCATCAAGTCGATTGCTACTCATGACAACGACCCCACGTGTGCAGACTAGAGCTGCTCCATAGGGTTTTCTAGGCTGTGACCTAGATTGCCAGGCCTTTCTTCTGAGGCATCTCTGGGTAGGTTCGAACTGCCAACCTTTTGGCTAGTAGTTGAAGGCTTAACTGTGCACCACCCGGGGACCCCTCCAGTGATGGCAGTGCGGAGTGCCACACCGTGTTGCCTTTGCGCCCGAGCAGAGCGGATGACTCTGTTTTCCGGTGGAACCCCTCCCACTCTGCAGTGGGAACCCTAACCTGAGCAAATACACCGTTGTAGCACCTCACACAGAGCCCCTGCGGCGCGGTGGTGGAGAGCTCAGCTGCTAGCCGAAAGGTCTGCAGTT